GCAGGCGGCGCCTTGGGGCCGCGCGGGACCAAGCCGGGCTGGGAAACGCTTTAGCCTCTTTACACCCAGGTGAGGAGGAGACATCCTAAATGCAGAAACCTGCAAAACCTGCAAAAAAAGGCAGAAATGGGGGACGGAATCCACTGGAGCAGTGTGAAAGGCGGCCGGCACATCCTGCCCTGGCTAGGTGCCCCATTCCCGTGCATGGGGAAAGGATCCATCTCTTCTGCAGCTTCAAGTGGGTCAGTTTTCCCTGGACACAATTATTCACCCAGCATTAAACCACTCCTTGCTACAGGCCATGTGCTTGGGAAAAAACTCCTCAGCTTTTCCGGGATGCCGCATCCCAGAGCGTCCAGGCATGCCAGAGGCGCCGGCCCGCAGCACTGGGACAGGCCCAGCTTCGGCTCCAGGTACCAGCGGTGCAGCCCGGCCGGGGCCACCACGGAGCAGGGAGCCCCTGTCCAGCCTGTCCAAAAGCACCATCCGACCCAGCCCCCGCCGATGCCTCGGAGCTCTTCCCTGGAATGCAGCATTCCTGGCGCCCCACAAAGTGTTTGCAGTTCTCGCTACGCATTAACCGCTTCCCGGCCACAGCCCCGCGCGGACGCCGGGCGCCGCTCGGCAGCTGCTGCTCCCACATCCACCGGTGCCAGGAATAACGGCACCATGAGCCCCCGTGGCCCAGCAATGGGCCCAGCCTGGGGATTTTCCCCCAGGAATTGGGGGACCCCGGTTGTGGAGCATCCCGCTGCATCTGGCAGCCTCCCGGCGGGATCTCCCCCCGGAGCACAACCGGGCCTGGCACTGCCGGGCCGTGCGGGCGGCTGCTCCTGCTCTCCTGCCCACGGACCATCCCGCTGCTCCCCTCGCTGTGCCGGGAGGCCTCCCCGCGCGGGCGGTGCGGCTGAGCCTGGCACCGGGAGCGGGGCACTCCTCGGCGCACACAGGGCCATGGCCGAATATGCCTGGCAGGAAAGGGAGCGAAAATGCAACAAGCTGCACCCAGGAGCGGGACTGGAATGGGGACAGGGACAGGGTGGCTGCTCTGCTGCAGCTTTCCTGGCCTATGCCACTCTTGTCATGGCACTGGCCTGCAGCCAAGTGCCAGCGGCTTGGGGGGAATGCCCAAGGCCTCTTTCCTGTTTCCTTCTGCCAAAGCCACCTTCAGCAGCCCTTGGACACGGAGCAGGGGGTTGTGGTGCTGCGGAGCATCCCCACGTGTGGGTGACTGCAGGACCCCGAGTGCCCTCCTGCCAGCGCCGGGCGCTCCACGTCATCCCCCCTGCACTGACCATGTCCTGCCTGGCACACAGGCTGGCTCTCCTGGTGCCACTCGTCATGGCACTGCCACTCGGAGCACTGCAAAGGATGGACCCAACTGTGCACGGGAGCACTGGGTGCATCTCCAGCTCATCCCACTCTGGGGACTCAGCCCACACCCTGCCTTGCTCCCATGTGCGCTGGGCAAGCGGTGCTGGAGCGAGCAGGACCGGGAGGCAGGGATGCTCGGGGACCACAGCTCGTGGTGCTGGAGTGAGCGGGACCAAGGATCAGGGATGCTCGGGGACCGCAGCTCGTGGTGCTGGAGTGAGCGGGACCAAGGATCAGGGATGCTCGGGGACCACAGCTCGTGGTGCTGGAGTGAGTGGGACCAAGGATCAGGGATGCTTGGGGACCACAGCTCGTGGTGCTGGAGTGAGCGGGACCAAGGACCAGGGATGCTCGGGGACTACAGCCCACGGTGCTGGAGCGAGCAGGACCAAGGATCAGGGATATTTGGGCACTACAGCCCGTGGTGCCAGAGTGAGCGGGCCCAGGGCCCAGGGATGCCCATGGACCGCGGCGCCCAGCCCGGGGCCGGGCAGGGGTGCGGGCCTGGCCTTACCTTGGGGCTGCAGGCTCTCCTGGATGGCCTCCACGTCGGCCAGGTCGGTGCAGACGCCCTGGCCGTGCATGAGGGTGCGCAGCGGGCGCGGCTCCCCGCGGGGCGGGTAGCAGCGCAGCCCCGCGCCGCACCGCGCCGTGTAGACG